CTTCCTTCTATGGCAGTTTTCAACATTAGCAGAACGTGCTCAGCGAGGTGGTTTCAGATCTTGTGCAACTATTACAAAGCCAGCTCAGGTCGGTTTGTTAGCTCTCTGTTCAGAGACTCACATACACGAGCTTCCTTACACATTACCACATCTTCTGCATTTCAGCTCTTCTTCTTATTTTAAGCAATCCAGTACTACTTTATGCTAAGACCCCTTATGCAATTGAGGACTAGTAACTTGATTGTGTCACTATATATGTTTTGCTCAGAAAATCAGGGGCCTGGGAGATCCCCTTTCACTACCAATTGCTCATTTTATTTTAACGCATATACGGTCAAATTAGCTTACTTGCAAAAACAACACTTTTATCATTTCTCACACTTGATTTTTCAGGAGCACTGGGTATCTCCTCAAAATGCCAGTCACATCAAACCGATGCACCCGACGTCTATCCATGGGGTGGAAGACATGATCCGCTTGGGGGATCTGAATGAGGCGGGCATTCTGAGAAATCTCCTGATCCGATATCGGGAGCGCCTGATTTATGTGAGTGTTTCTCCTGGGGGCAGAAAGCAGTGGTTGATCAAGCTGTTAATTCAAGATCTTTTAATCAGTCTTGATTTGGGGGCTGGGCCTGCAGGAAAGGAGAGGGGAAGATGGGGGCACAGTTGGGGGGGGCTGATTATCCTTTGCAAGGGGAGACAAGGCCCATGGATGACGGGTAGTGATGCCAAGTGGGAGGTGTCATGTCCACATGTGGGCGGGACCAGAATTTTCTTTCCTGTTTTTCCTTGCATTTATGGATAGAATTTGGGGAATATTTTTCTTGGTTGTTTTTTTTCCCATCTGTCCAACTCATTTTAGGGTTTTATGTCCTTTTTTATGTATTTTATGTATTTCCTGCCTTAAAGCGATAGAAAAAACGTTGGCACTTGTGGGAGGGTTCAGGAGGCACCCAAAAATGGTGCTTAGAAGCTACACAAGGCTTTTGATGACAAATTTTCAGGAGCTTGCCATTTGCCCTCTAGATAGCTAAATTTCTGGTACTTGCTTCTCATCAGATGAAAAGAAAAGATCTGCTGGGCTTTTTCTTTCTGAGATTCTTGTCCATGTCTGAAAACGATTTGCTCTCGTTATTCTTTTCTCTAGGATAAGTTTTGTTTTTATGGCAATTTCCTGTTAACTTCTGGAAATCATTAGACCTAATTAGACACCCTGAGGACTAGAAACACAGAGCTTAAAAAAAACAACAACACATGGAGTTGATTTTAAACTACAGAGTCAAACTCAATTGCCTTACTTGCATACTATGTATGCCTGGAGTTAGGAAATCCATTAATTAAATCTTTGAATATCCACCATATAATCATGAGCCTTGAGGTCTAGAACCTTGCTTCTTTAAAAAAAATGATATTGCATGAATATATAATCCTACCCGGATGTTCTTTGGTCCCCCAATTCCATGCCCTCTCTAGTTTCAATTCCCTATTATGTTAAAAATATGTCACTTTTTATTTAAAAAAAAATGTGTACGGCTTTAACCAAAGAAAACCCCACCTTTGTTTTGAAGCTACAGCCTGCTAAGAAGTCTCTCTCAGTTTAAGCACCAGGGAGAGTTACTAAGTGTCCCTGATCTCTAATCACTGCTTTGGCTTTTCATTAATGATGCAAAACAGTATCCTCTGTGTGTGTGTATGTATGTATGTATGTATGTGTGTGTGTATGTGTGTGTGTATGTGTGTGTGTGTGTGTATATATATATATATTTTTCCCCCTTAGTAGGATTTTAACTCTGAAGCAGCCAGGAATTTCTAACCCGATTAGCAGCCCCCAAAATGGAACCTAGGCAGAACATCCCACCTGATGACTCCTCACGAACTGGGTTCACACCACATCTAACACTAAGTTCAAACTGGGCTGGGTAATTTGTGGGTGAGCGTGTTATGAGAACCTGGCTTGGTTGCTTGGGGACTGTGTATGACGTCAACGAAACAGGTGTGATTTGTTAACCAGGGTTTGGGTTAAGGGTGTCGTGTGAACTCAGCCGTTTCTTTAGCACAAAGGTGCATAAGCAGTGCACAGGATAGGGGCATCTGAGGGTCGGGGGGGGGTCAACATTTATAAGTTGATGGGCACAGTGTTGTTGCAGCTTAAGCCCTGTGCTTTTTATATGTGCAAATAAGAGAAGAGTTGGAGTCGGTCTGCAAAGCTGCACCCACCTTCTGACAGATTTTGACCTTCCCCCCTTGACACTCCTGGTGTGGATCACACGTGAATCCTAAAAGATGGGGGACAACACTCCGAGATCTACAAAATGTTGTTACCAAATTCTCATTGGGATGCAAGGGAAGGAGAGGACATGCGTTCCCCATATTTCATTTTAACTAGATCCAAATGGCAATGCAACATGAACACCTTCATGTTTGCCCTCGCTCGCCCACCATTTCTTGGCTGCTGTTTCTGGCCATTGCGTAAAGGCAAACCAGGTCTGGAAAAAATTCTCCCTCTCAGTTTGAGAATGTGATCTGAACTGGATCATTTGTGTTTGGATACAAATTTCGGGCTTAGAAAGTTGTGTGAACTCAGCCCTTCCCTGCACAGCACGCTTATCTTGTTCGTGTGCTACAGATTAATCCAACTGCTAAATTAATCCATGGGGGACGTTTGTCTACATCAAACCCTAAACTAACCACACAGATTGGTTTCACACAGCACCCTGTGGCCCCAGAAATGTCCCATATCAGCAAATATACAGACTCAATCAGGGTTTTTGGGTTGTGCAAATGAAGAGGCTGGCTCTTTAGCTGAATTGGTTAAGCATGTTGTGCAAACTTAGTTTTCTGAGCGAGACAAGACAGAGTATCAGCAGTATCAACAACTGAGATCACAGAGGGTTCCTTCAGGTCCTCTAGTGGAGTGTAAGGCAATGTTTCTCAACCTTGCAACTTTAAGACGTGTGGACTTCAACTCCCAGAATTCCCCAGCTAGCCATGCTGGCTGGGGGATTCTG